TGAAAAACTATCTTAAAACTAACGTCAAGCCGTTTTCAAGCCTTTTTCCGGGTTTTTGGGCGCTTGTTCCGCTTGAAATGTAGTTAAATTTTGACAAAATTATTTTCTTAAAAACTATTAAAAAAGTTTTTTAAGTTGCTAGCGATTTCTAGACTTCTACACCCCCTGCCCCCCCGATAACGGAAAAGAACCGTCGCTCGAAAAATTGCCTTTTCATAAAGTCACTCTGCGCTTTTGCATTGTGGGGAAAAATTCACACAGAAATACCCTAACATTAAATTATAACCGTTTGCAATTTGAGAAGCCGGAAGGCAGCGCCCGCTTTTGCCATCTGCCCGATCCGGTTTCCAATGAATAAACAAACTGTGGGCGGGGGCTGTCAATAGAGGCAATCGCCTATACCCATCACTACTCCATACCAAGTATTTGTAGTCCGTGTTCGCGCTTTTTTTGAACAAATACCACATCTGCGCCAGTCGGGCGGAAAGCCCTTGTGTAAATCAACGCCATTGATATTTTGCTGGGGAAAACCCGGTTGGTGTTGAAGCTTGTTTTCAGAAGGTCATTCCTGCCTTTTTCGGGTTTTAAAGTCGTTTTTCGAGGGAAATCACTTTTTCTAATAGAAATAGATGAATCACTTCCATATAGATAGAGAAATTATTTCTAAACTGCCTTTTACCATCCGTAAAACGTAAAAAAAATTACAAATTCTACTCAGTATTCCAAAAAATAGTGATTTCTTTGACCAAAAATAGCCGATGACTACCGAAATTTTTTGATAAAATTCGTTGAAATTTTTGATAGCGTTTTAGGTAGTTTTTCCACTTGAAATATAGTTAAATTACGCTAAAAAACTATTAACATTTATTTTAAATTAAATATATTTATTTATTTTTGATTTATTCCTGCTTTTTTTTACTAGGAATTCCCGGACTTATAAAAACTCGGCTCCCCTGATAACCCCCCGGATAGTGCGAAAGCACCAACGCTTAATTTTAGACAGGAATTTTAACAATTCCGGAAGCATTTTCTGCGTCCATGTTGCCTTCAATTTCCGGCTACGCGACACTCCAAACCACGCGCATCAACCCATTACATGCTCTAATCAACGACCCAGTTATTGCTTTTTAGATTTTGCCCAAAACATGTAGAAATCCATACAAAAAGGCCCATTTCCCTATCAAAAACATCCCTGGGCTCGCTTTCACCTTGTTTTCCTTCCCACACCTTGGCTCCTCCTACTTATTTGCTTTAGAAGCCGGCCCGGACACGGCGCTGGATTTGGGGACGAGCCACTGAGAAGAACGAACAATGATATGTTGCACCATCGACGCGCCGCTCGCTACCTCAACGCCATAATTGCCTTTAGTTTTGTAAGTATTGCCGAGAAATATTTAATTTGTTCTTTCAGCTGGGTATTCTGTTCATCTACTTTGGCCGTTCTAGCCCTGGGATCGATAGTTCGACGCAATGGAGTCGGCCGCAGTTAGATCCGTCTTTATTCAGGTTAGCGCCCCTCATATTAATAGGCAAAAATTGTTTACAGGATCGCCGAAGAGCCGCTGAATCTCCCCTTGGAAAAAGCACCGAATTTTTTGACGGTGGGGCTTTGAAATTTTATTTGTCCAGGTTTTTGGTGCAAGTTTTACTTATTAATGTGTTTCACTGCAGTTACGGCTAATTATATTACACTTACAGAACTATTCAGCCGGTATATATTAGCTATATTTTGATGATGATCATGATCATCATAACTCGTTGAATAATTCACCTTTTAGAATACGACCCAGTCTCAGGAGGCAAAAGCATCCGTCCGACTAAACCTCTCTGATTGGTATATCACAGGTAGCTTCCAAGACGCCGCGCAAAAAAACACTCATTTTTTAGCAAAATCCTTGCCGCTGACCGGCGCCGAGGTGGTCAAGTCGGTGAATTTCCTCAATGAAAACTTCCAAGTGTTGAACCTCGACAAGTTCGGTCCACTTGAAGAGGTCCAGTATGTGATCGTCGTTCAGGTAGGATGACGCGGCAGTTGCAAAAGTATCGATAACCTTTCAGGTTCACGACCGAGCCGCCTACCTTAAGATTTTGATCGACACGTTACGGGTGGCCACCGGCATCGAAAAATCGCTGATTATCTTCTCGCACGACATCGCGTTGGCCGAGATCAACCAACTGATCCGGGGCATTGAATTTGCGCGGGTAGGTCGTGAAATTAAATCGAAATGTTGTAAGTTAAAAATTCGCGAAACCGCTGGGTTTTTTGTATATTCAGGGGGTAGATTCCTAGGATCTGATGCCTCTAAAATAAACAGGGGAAGCGTTTTAAACTGTTGTTGCAGATTTTTCTATAAAGGCTGGTTTTTCGACTAAAATATCAAATTTTTAGAGATTTTAATACTTTGGAAAAATATATTTTTTTGTCGTGAACTTAATTAGAGTTTCCAGCGCTGAAAATTTGATCTTTAATCGAAAATCCTCAAAAAGTTTCTTAACGTGGTTTCCATGCTTGCAGATCCGACAATTCACGAGCAGCCAATTTCCAGGTGCTCCAAATCTTCTACCCCTATAACACGCAGCTGTTCCCCCACGTTTTCCCCGGCCAGCATCCGGACGATTGTGCGGAGAAGTGGCGCGCGAAGGGGGCCGCGTCAAAATGCCGAAACTGGCAGACGCCGGATAAATACGGGAACTATCGCGTCTCCAAACTCACCCAGATCAAGCATCATTGGTGGTGGAAGGTAGGTGGCTTTTAGTCCAATTGAAGGAGCTTTCTAAATAGTCATATAGCGCTTTTAAATATCCATTTTTGTCCAGATGAACTACGTGTTTGACGGGGTTGTCGCGCCGTACAAGCTCGATGAAAAGTGGGTGGTGCTGCTGGAAGAGGACCATTACGCCAGCCCCGATTTTCTGCACGTGCTTACATATATGGCTGAGAATAGAGAAAGGTAATAAATTATTATTGTTTTAAAGCTATTAAGAGATACATGTATTAACTTTATTCTACTTTTACGCTATTGATGAAAAGATGTTAACTTAATTTGAACGTTAACTTAACTCTGTTTAAACGACGCTTAGAAGACGTCTAATGACTTTTATACTATTAAACCTCACTTACTTCGTGGGCTCATTTTCAGCCTCTGCCCTCAATGCGACATCCTTTGCCTCGGCATCTACATCAAGAACTACCAAAGTGCCGCCCTACAACCCGAACATTTAGGTGAATTTCTGTTTTTATCCCGGATCCAAAATCTTTCCACTTTTTCTTTTTGCTTTTAAATAGAAAAATCGTCTTTTGAAAAAAGTTTAATCTATCTTTCAAGGTTTCAATATGAATTTCCTGAAAACTCCTCCCCTCTAGGCGCCGCCCCGTGGTACTCCAGCAAATACAACATGGGCATGACGATCAGGAAGCAGCTGTGGGATCAGATGAAGAACTGCAGCGAGGTGGGCTTCGTCTACTAGACGTTCATTACCCCAGATTTTTCATGTGGCCGGTTTTCGGCTTGCCGAGGTTAAATTTAAATATCAAAAATTTAAAAATTCGACATTTTGTAGAAAAGTTTTTGTGCACAAACTTATGAATAAAAATATATCCATGGATATATTCACCACCTCGATGTGTTTATAGATTTTCTGCGCGTGGGACGACTACAATTGGGACTGGTCAATGCTGCAGGTCAGTGTGCAATGCCTGCCGGCCAGGTGGAAGGTGCTCTACACGAAGGCGCCGCGCGTCCTGCATATCGGCGACTGCGGCGTGCACACCCATCGGTGGGTTCCCGGGCCTTTTTTGCTCTCTTACTTACGTCCCGCTCACGAATTTAGACTAGCAACGCCATTTTTCGAGTACAAAAACGACGCAAACGCGGGGATTTTTCAGCTTTTTAACATCCAGATAAAAAATTAAGACTAGCAACGTCATTTTCCGTTTACAAAAACGACGCAAAGCCAGGGTTTTTTCGGCTTTTGAACGTCCAGATATAGGATGAGGGCTTGTAACGCCTTTTTCTAGGTGTGTCGCGAGAAATCCGACGCGCTTTGACCTTTTTTGAAGTCCAGATAATGCAAAATAATTTCCTAGGTGCAACACGAAAAAGGGCGTCGAAATGGCCGCCGACTATGTGCAGCGACACGCCGAGAAATTTTTCCCGACGACTATGCGCGTCAGCGACGTAGGTCATGCGTGTGTGGAGTCTTCAGATGCCTTTCCAGGTGTCCCGGCGTATGCTGAAGCCGTCGAAGGCGAATGGCGGCTGGGGCGACCCGCGCGACCACACGCTCTGCCGGCGCAACACGTCCCCGCTGCTTTCTGGCACGAAACACGATGTGGTAGGTGTTCATCAAATATTTAACGACTTTGGAGAGGCATACAACTACTCAAAATAGCAAAATACCAAAAACGATTTATCGGAAGGCGTTCATACTTTATTTTTCTCCTTATAAAAGATAGAAGACTACTAAAACATACCAAAAATACAGAAAAAACAGGAACTTGATGAAAAACAGCCTTTCAGGTTCTCGACGAACTGTTGAATAGTACAATACACCTCGATTAGCCGACTAGCACTTCAGAGGACAACTTATATCCATTCTTGCCGCCCCATCCCGTACCCGATTCCCGACATTCCACACTTCTGGTCTCTCATCCCCCTGTGCTCCTCCATACCGCATAATTATTTTCACCCCTAGGTGTGCTATTCGCTATCTCTCTCTCGCTCGCTCTCACCCTCTCTCTCACTCCCTCTCAAGCAAACTGTGCTATTTTTGTACCTCTGCTCAACGGATTTTGCTTGCGCGTGATTTTCTTAATTTTTATTTTGGAACGACGGGTATGCAGATATAAAGATATTCGTTTTGAGGCACACGTATCTTTTTATGGAAACACTAGATACAGGTAATTACGGTATCATTATTTGACCCGGAAGGGCATCGAATAGATCGATACGTATTATATTGGCAAAGTATAACAAGCAGGAAACCATACGGGATTTCTAGGGTTCAATGGTCGTTAGTTCAACACGGCGTTGCCGGCGTACTTCGATGAATTGCACAGATGAGTCATCGTCCTTTGCCGCGGTGGACGCCCTAAAAACCGGGAAGATCAAAATAAAAGAACGAAATCGCTGATTAACAAAAATTTAAACTCACGAATTCTCGGTTTGTTCGTCTCCGATGGTTATTACTTGGGGTTCCGGCTGGGCAGCGCCGGCCTCATTGTTCTCGGCCGTTTTCTCCTGCGGACGCGGAAAGAACCTGGAAAAAGGCCTCATTTTGAAAGGAAAAATGTTTACTTTGTTAACTTCGGCGTGCTGGTTGGCGTGGAGGCAATGGCGGGACGTTTGGCTTTCGGGGTCCTCAAAACAAGATTTTTAGACGGTTAAATGCAGCAAAATCGTGACAATTGAGCACTTATAGATAAAAAAACTACTTTGGGGTTTTCGGCGTTTCATGTTTCGGTGTCCCTTGTGTCATCGCGTGCGACAGGGCGTTGTCCGTCTCGCTGGATCGCTCTTCGTCGCCTCCCGCCTCTTCTTTCGTCTTCACTTTGCGCTTCCGGACCTGAGAACATTTCAACACGTCAGATTGAAGAAAAAAAAGTCATTTTTTGAGAACATGCAAATTCCCGCACCTTGATCAACTGTGGGGAAGGTGGGGGTGGTGGGCGCTGCTCATCGGCCAACACTTCGCCCCATTCTGACATTGTCAGCCGGAAGAAGCTGTTGTACCTAAACAAAGTAGTCAAAAAAAGAAAGACAAATACCCTTCGAGCGAAGAAACGACCAGCTGTTGCCCGTCGGAACTCCAGGACGCGTCGGTAAGACTGTTGTAGTGAATGTTGTCGATGTAGCCAATCGCTTGCATATGTTGCGAGTCGAAGAAATATATTTGCGAGACCGTGAGTGCCACCCAGATGATGCGGTAGGGTAAACTGAAATAAATTATTTAACAAAGCTAGAGATCGAAAACCAAAACTAAACTGAACTACCAACCCTGAATAATTCTGCTTTTCCCCGTCCACCAGTTTAAATATCACGGGGCACATCCGTACAACAAACGTCGCCTTTTCGGTCGGCAACAACGCGAACGGCTTTTCTCTAAAAGAAAATATTCAGATTGCTAGATTACTAAACAATTCTCACTTATCGATTTCGGTCCTCTTAAAAATCCACACGCCGAAAACGTCTTGTGTGCCGACTTCGAGTTGCGCGGCTAAAAAATCTCGTAAATCATTGAAAAATTAATTCAACCTGGACACACGATCAGCTCGCCACACGGAGAAAATTGTAGCCCTCGCTGGAAACTGGCGAGTTGGTCGTCGTGCCATAGGCGATATGGCTGGACTTAGAATATGTAGTCAAAATGGAAAACATACTTTGGCTTCGGCGTGCAATCCACCAATACTCCGTGCCGGAAGCTCGGCCATGGCAATTGATTTCAACTTAGTTCCCTTTACGCAATCAAGGATATCCATCTTGCGATCTTTAGACAGGGTAATCAGATATTTCCCTCTTGGGTCCCAGGTGATTCCATTGGGAAAGTTGCGCAGGTTCCGCAGGCAGATTGTGCGCTTCCCTAAAAAGTGCATGAAAAACCGGAAAAACAACACTACCGGTGCTCACTTCGTGAACCAACAAGTTACAATCATGGCCGACGCTAGCCAGCATTTTACCGTCAGGGCTCCAGACGAGAGCCGAGACGTCTTCCTCGTGGTTTAGGACACGTTGTCTCACCTGAAAACGAAGCCCTATATTTTAACAATTCTATCAAGTGATTTAAAATTCCTCATTTTTAAAACACCAATCTAGATAAAAACTAGATTCGCTGGCCGACTTAAGATTCGTACCCAATTTTCCTTATTCACAGGCATGTCATCGTCTGGTGTCGGCGCCGGTGGCTGGTCCGAAAGACTCCAAATCACAATGCGGCCCTCCGAATCACCAGAAGCAAGTAAATTTTCTAGAAATAAATTGTTGAATCATAAATAAAACCTTACCAGTTGCCACGGGCGCAAAGCGAACAACGTTGATCGAAGTGTTATGACAGGCCATGTTTGCTAGAAAGGCCACAACGTGCTCATTCCTGGGCATCACATAGCCGAATTCCCAGATTCGAACTTCTTTCTGACAAAAAGGTCGTTGGTGCTGCAAGCCAAGCATACCTGCATCGATGAGGTAGCAATCCGATACCGCCCATCCTTCACTAACGGATGAAAATCCACAGAAAGAATACCCTTCCGGTCATGCCAGCAGATTTCTGGCATGTATTGCTGCATTATGGAAGGGTCTGAAAATGTTCATTTTGATAAAACTATATGAATTATATGTGAGAATAATAAAAAATCTAGTTAAGTAAAATTTATAATCTCTTGGAGGATTCCCTCGAAAAGCCGCAACTGCCAGTTGCAGTCTGCAACCCTAATTCTTCATTATGCAATCGGACGGTCTTGTAAAATAGTCTCTAAAGAAATCTTCAACCTTTTGGCATTTCGATGGTACTTTAAATTCTGTCATTTCGCGCGAGAAACGCCCTGGCGAGAACCAGAGTGTATGCGAATGCAGAGGGCCGAAACAGCCCTAGAATCCTGTCAAGAGCCCCGTGGTCCTGCCAGTTACAAAAATTGGCCCCAATGAACTCTTATAAAGAGGGGTTTCAACGTTTCCCATTTGCGGCGTTTTCAGCAAAATACACACACACGATTTATCGATTTACGAGGATCAAATAAATGGCAAGTATCACAGTATAGTGCAAGGGAAAGAAGTTATGTACAACAGGATCTATGGAGATTTATGGAGATGAAATCAATGGTAAGTATTACAGTTTCGTGCAACGCAGGGAATTGATATACAGCAGAATTTATAGATTTATGACGATGAAATCAATGGCAAGCATCACAGTATAGTGCAAGGGAATCAATTAATATACAAGCTGTTGCGCAGTGGATAAACAATCCCTGGTTCACTGGATCCGGAATCGCACAAAATCAGTCGGGAGTATCACATTATCAGGTTACGGAAAGAAAGGACAAGCGGTTCAAAGCTCAAGCAACAAGCGTTGATCAAAGTATGTGGGCAGAGTCTCGAGCACCTGGAAATCTAGGCCTATCGTCGATGGCAACGTGTGGTCCGGGGCGTTGGATTCATCTGCGGAGTCGACATCTGTGTCCGCTTCGAGATCGTTGACCTTCTCCGAGGTCGTCTGCTTTTGAGTTTTTGTGCCCATTTTGCTCGCACCTTGCCTGCAAAAATGTAGGTGTGCGCGCCTCAAATTTTCGTCCAAAAATCAGGGTCATCAGGGTCCAATTTCAAAAGGTTTAAAAAGCTACCTTGCTGCGGCTGGAAACACACTTCCTCTGCACGGTCGCTGGGCTCTTTCCTTCGACGTGGTATACGCATTTGTCGCTTTTGTGTCGCCGAGCTTCTTCGTTGCGGGTTGTGAGCCTTCCTTGATTTGGGTCTTCAGCGGGTTATCAGGGCTGTCGTGCAACTTCGCCTCAAAACACGATTGTGACGGGATCATTGATATTATATAAATAGGCTTTAAAAATTACCGAAAATTCAACGAGGAAAGGGCCAACTCCTCTCTCGACCCCATGCGGATCCTCGTGCGAATAGACTGGATCGACCAAATCGGGCAGCGTGAATGGTATGTAGTAAGTGTCATCCTTAACAGAGACAGCAACTTTCCCAGGTATCGCGTCGGCTCGTCGGGGCACCAGTCGATACTTCACGATCCCATCGAATCGAACGTTGTGGCCGCTTCCTTCTAAACTTAGATTAAAATGTCATAGAAGCTCTCGTTTACCTATCTCCTTTGTTGCCAATATGCCGGATGGACCAGGAAGAGGCTCTTTTTCTATAGGAGTCGATCGGGCGGTTTTCTTTTTCTTCTTTCTTGGGTCCGCTAATTTCAACGGCTGGTTCGGGCGCCGCTGACGGCGTGGGTAGCGTCTGGCGCCCTCCTGAAATCTCTATGGGCAAGCAATAATGGAAAGTGTACCTGATCATTATGCGACTCCTCCAGCATCCACTTGCGGGCTAAACATACATTCGTCTCTCGTGAAAGCCATACAAAACGGTGGTAAAGTTTTTGCTCACAACAATATAATCTGGCCACATCGGTAGTTAGGAAACATTTATTGCACAAGTAATGATTTCGAGATCACAGAAACGCCATTGAGATATCACAAAAGACGAGCATTGAAAAGCTATAAAATCCATGAAAAAATTATTCGGGTTCATCATTTTTGAGCGCGGTCCGGTCGGCGCCGTCTTGCTTGAGCTTCATATCTTGGTGGGGGGCCAGGCGAGCGGTCTCAAGCAGGGAAGTGATGAGAATCCAATGTGCCTGGACATCGAAAATCAGTTTGCATAAATCAAACCCACCGATTCGCGCAACGCCACCGCATGTCGGCGTATAAGGTGTGCAAGCCCTTTAGCAATTTGTTGGGAGTGAATGACGAAAATTTGCTCGGGCAGTTCCTAAGACGCGATTATGGTAATAGAAATTTACTAACCAAGAACCATTTCAAGGAGGAGAGCCGCTCTTCATTTTGAAGGGACTCTTCGAACGTCTCGTCGATGATATTCAAAAGTACGACGATAGCCCTGCCCGTCAACTGGCTGCTTCTCGCCGGCAGCCGCTCGAAGATCCATTTCAGATGAGCGCGAATTTGTGGCCACAATTCATCGAGTCGATACTGCACCAGGAATTCACGGCTAACTATACACTCGTACCTGGTTAGCCAATAACAACTTTCCGGAGAGTTCGAGGCAAAATGTCAACGAGTCCTCGGCTGTCGGATGGTCCGACAAGCGAGTTTCCTCAAGACCAGCAATGATCCCTTGGCTCACCTAGGATAAAGACTAGAAGTAGAAATCAGATAAATTTACTTGTAAAATGGCCGACATGAAGCCTGTGATTGCAGAGTAGGGCAGGGCGCTGGAGAGTCCGATGACGTCTTCAAGCTTACATCGGTCGAGTGCTTTTTAGCCGCCTAGAGTGCATTTTAAATGGTAAAAGCAAATAACCTTGTAGCGGTCCTCTTCCCAAAAGTGCCGCTGATGCTGCGTAGGTGTTTCCAAGTCGGCACCACTTCCAAACAGGAACCACGTGAGGAAGTTAGATTCACTTTTCGAGGCTTTCATCGCTCTAAACCCGTCGTGTACAGCAAGAAGTCGATACATACCGAGGATATTCTCGATTGATGCTGACGGTTCCGGTCACCGCAACATAATCCACCACGACCGTGAATTCAGCCGGCAACATACGCGCTCGATATAGTTGAATCAGGCAGTCAACGACGTAGGTCCAGCCCTATATTTGTAAAATTTCACAAAAATATCTCGCACCTCGTGCAATGTTTGCCCGTAAGCCAGCATCAGTTCGAAGATCGTCTGGACAGCAGCTATCGCCTAAAATTCGATGAGCCGAATTCGTATCAAAATACCTTCGAATCTTCGCCGAGGGCCAGGCCCAACTCATGAGGACCATCGGTGGGACAACTTCTTTTGAGCCCTGCTTCATGAATTTCTAAAAAAAAACCCAGGATTGAGACGTACGAAAGATATACCGTCCGTGTTCGGGATCAGCCCACTGGCCTTGCACAACATGATGACGACGCTGTCGAGGGCCTGAGGAATCCCTAGGAGATCAGCCAAGCGAGCGCAACTATGGCATCCAAGAATCACCATCTATAAGTGTGAAAAAGTTATTGGTGACATTAAAACCTTTGTGATTTCCGGATCATCCCATTTGTCGTAAAAACAGGAGAGAGCCGAAACGACCGGTCCCCAGGCCACACGAAACAGTTCCTTGTCGTTCCAGCCTCAAACCAAACAATGGATCCTAAAAAAAAGAAATACCAGCCGGCATCCGATGATAGCATCCCTCAGTTGTGCCAGACCTTTCTAGAAGCGTTCTCCAGATATACTCCTCCTTGACGAGTCCCGTTCGTTCGGATGGCATCACGATCTCCTCACGCCTAAAAGTGAGCTTTGAACGGGCTCTTGTCGTACTGTATCGAATAGAAGATCTCTTGCAGCATCTTCGGGTCAAAATTTCCGGCACCGTTAGTGCCTCTCAAGTTATTCACAAACGAATCGACCGTCATACGAGGCTGATTGAAGCCAACCTGAAAAAGGATAACGTCTCCTTAACAAATCAGAGGATACCTGCGGATTGTACTGGTCGGTATTGAGCATAATAACGGCATAGGAGAGCGTGAATGCGGCATCCGGGTCGGCAAACGGCCCATTGTTCGAGTGGTACCAGTGCTCTAAACGAATTTAACAAAATTGAAAAATTGACGAACCAGCGAAATGCGTCATCACTTTCGTAATTTCACCAGACTCCCCGGGCAGGCGGAAAGTTTCCAGGAATACGCGCAGGGCCTGGTCAAGGCGCGTATTGGTGAAGTCGAATGAGCATACGTAGGCTTTCAAAACCTATAAATGGAGCGTCAAAAAACGCAGACAATTCCACCTCATTGTTCCTTCGGTCGCTAATGTAATCGGCTATTAATTTCTTGTCAAGAAGCGGATTCATCCTCAGCCACTCAGCCACTGCGCGCGGATCGCTGCCGATAAGACCCTTCTCACGCAGAAACGTAATGCCTGCAAAACATCAGCCATTTTGTCAGAGGAAATCATTACCTTTCTTTGGATTGGTATTGAATATGTTCGTCGCCTCAGCAATAATATCCTTCTTCTTCTTGCGCGCATAGGCCTGAAAACGAAAAGTTGGTTCAGTAATATAAATACTTTAGTTCGAGCCAAAGCCAATTCAGGGGATTCGTCCTCCGCTGTGTGAACTCGTACATCCCTCTCCAGCCATGCGATAATCGCTGAAGAAAAAAAAATTAGTTTTGCTATCCAGCCAACCTAGTAACGCCTCAAAACCTAGAAATGACATCGACTCCTTATCATGGAGCGGGAAGGCGTTCTCCGAGAAGCGCTTGACGACATCCTCGAAGAGATTGCTGAAAAAACTGAGGTAACAAAAGAAACACAAATGCCTTCACCTGTGGTAAAGCTCGTTGTCGTAATTGAAATAAATCTCGTTCATTATTCCTGGGATCCGCCAGAGCCGCGCAAGCGTCGAAAGCGCAAATTCCTTCTTTTCGTACGAGTTGATATCCTGGATCAACATCATTAGCAAGAAATATAGAAAATACCGGTGGGCTAGCAAGAATCGTCTGCAACTTCTGGAAGTAGGCCTCCATCTGGAGCTTCAGTTGTTGCCGACTGCGGTCGAATAATTGAAATGCGACACGAGCCACGCGGGCTAGGACACGTAGGTCGGTCGAGTCGAGAAGCTAAGGAGATAAAAATACCCAAAACAATCGTTACCAGAATCAGAGAGCGGCTTAGGCGATTTGCGATTTCAACAAGCATCTGCGGGCACTCGCAAAAATCATCAAGGGTGTTCTCGAAGACGGCAATCCAAAATGAAATCAGCTTTAAAAATTTTTTGAATACCAGCAGTTCCAACCCAAGCGTGATCACCCTTTCGTCGTTTCTCTCATCGCGCGGGTTTATCAATCCAGAGATAAAGCTTAAAAAACTTAAATTTAAGCGAAGATACATTTACCAAAATGCTTCAACTGCACAAGGTTGACCGTATTTAGAAGGATCTTCAAATGTTGTAGACAGTTGGGTCTCATCAACATCGCAATCCCGAGCCTCATCGCTATCCTCCCTCATGCTCTCGATGCTAAGGCTGGCCATCGCACGTCGGAGCTTTTGTTCGTCGCGGTCATCATTTGTGGCCAATTCACGGAAGCGCTTGAAAATGCAGACGAACATGGATTCCAGAGTTTGTTTTGCTGCTTCCCTAAAAATGAACAATGCTGTTTCGAGAAATAATAATACCTCAGTATCAATGACTGGTCATCGGCAAAGCAAATTCTAAAGCAGCTTTGCAGTATGTCGCAGATCGCCGCGTCGGAGAGCAGAGGGCCCGATGAAGAAGTCAGAAGCTCCTGCAGCGCCTATCAAAATAAATAATCAATCAACATACATGAAAACTTACCGCCAATATATTGAACAATACACATTCGTCTCCGCTTCGGCTAACTCCGCCTGTGAAACGGGCGTGTGTAACCGCGCTCGCGATTGCTTCCACGGACCGTTGGGCATTTGCACTAAAGGACAACTGGATGGGGATAAGGAAGTATTACATGTAAGGATCACACAAGAAGCCCCTCTTGATCAAGGCTGTCACCGTGGCGAGCGCTCCATTTGTCAACTCTGCGGTCGTCGCGCCACAGAGGATCACATCCAAGACTGCTTTCAGGTAGATCGGCACGCCTGCGCTTCTGTCTTCCTGAAAAAAAAGCATTTAGGGAAAGTGATTCCGGAAAATACCCGGTGTATTCCCATCCTTGCCGAGGTGAGGTTGAGCAGCAGCGTCTCTCGTGCCTCTTCCTCACCCTAGAAAATATGAAAAATGATGAAGTTTGGCACCCGTAAACGCAGATCAATCTAATTTTTGCAAAAATTACCCTCGCCACGGCCCTGGGACCCCTGCAGGCGGCCACCAGGCCATCCAGCTCCCCGAGTACTATTGCCAGCTCTGCAACAAACAAAAGATATGGCGATAAATTGTGCTCTGACCTCGAGCTTCCGGCATTTGGCCAGAACAGCACCGACGGTCGACCGGTTGTCCCTAGATGTCAGTAATAGTAATGTGCAAAACCAAAACAAAAGGACAAAAACAACATTTTAATTGGGTAGCCGTCTGCGCCAAAAAAGGGATGACGTGGAAGGGACACGGTGGAAGCTGCCGCGCCCAAAACGTCAACCAGTACTTGCGCGGAAAGTGTAATTTGCAACGCTTTGTAGCTTAGGAGTCGTACTCGGTTAGTAAACTTAGGGTTAGTAAACTCGTACGCGCTCGAAATTGCGCTCACGTGCGCGCCCTCGGGCGCAATGGCCAAAAGCGCCCGCGGGCGCCCCCGAAACTCGAAAGCGCCCGCGGGCGCGCCCCAATCGCGTTGTAACGGCGTAGGACGGGTTCTTTTAATGCTTTTATTATTTAAAAAAGGGCACTACATCGCTTTTGAAGATGCTGTACCCTATACTTAGTGTTGATCTTCACGTTCCCTGAGAAATTGGTTGTATTGCGCACCTGAAATATGTTTTTTTTTTGCTTTCTTGGCTTTAGCTTCGTTTGGAACTTACAGATACGTTCGAATGCGCGCTAGACGGTCCCTAAAAGTGTAGCTAATTACATAATTTCCTTTATGAACTTCGTAATGCGCACTTACTTTGTTCCCGCTTCCTGAAAACTTGCTTTGACTTGCTTCTTGCCGACTTACTTTGCAACTCCGCCCAAAGATACCGGAAACGTCGCGCTTCCCATTTGCAATGATGACCATGATCGTCTGAAAGGTTGGGTTATATAAATCGAGAATCTATAAATCTAAATCTAAAGTATTTTTAAAGTTTTTTGAAGGGACTGGTTGCGTAGCAAAACTTTACCGTCGTTACCTGCGCCATGGCGCTTCAAAGTATTGTATTCGACATTCGACGACCATAACCAAGCAAATCTAGTAACGTTTGTGCTAATTTATATATATTTTGAACATAAATAAGTGCATAAGTCAGGAACTTAGCCGTTTTTTTTGCAGTTGAAAGGTGTTCACCATTCAAATGCGCCCGCGGGCGCGCCCCTAGTTGCGCCCATGGGCGCTTTTTGCGCCCGGGGCGGTTTTGCGCCCTTTTGCAAAAATTTCGCCCGGGGCGCAAACTGGTCCAGTTCGGGCGCGCTCGCGGGCGCTTTGGGTTTTCGGGCGCGCCCGCGGGCGCTTTGCTAACCGAGTAGCAAGTTTCGTTTCTATTTTTCTTGCTGCAAAAATCTTTATCTATGAGATTTTTACGCGATTTTGTGGCTTCCACGCTCTTCACTTGGATTGGACACACGTTTAGCTTTAGTAACACTTTTACTTTCGTATAATTTCAAAAAAGGTCGAATTCCTCAGCGAAAGTCTCATCTCATTGTCCCTGAACTTTTATTTCTGCGTTATTTGTCATCAAAATCTTTCACTGTTCCATAATTCCTTTCTAACGCTCTAATATGGTAATATTTTCAGTTATGCTACGAACTAGCGGGTACCCGGACGAATATGGCGACATCACCGCCGCCATCCCACCCGTCGCCGCCCAACTCGACCAAATCAGGGAAACCGCCGACTTTTCGCGTCGACTCACGCAAAATGGTAACTTATACACCATCTATTAATCCCCAAATTCAGAGCTTCTGACGGTGTCTGGCCTTGGCGAACGCTACTACACGAAGGGCCGCGAATTCGAGCTCATTCGCACTCTGCCGATACCACAAGAGCTTCACACACAGCAGCTGCGTAAGATGATTTTGAATTTTCTTTGAATTTACCTTTTTAGAGACCCGAGCCCGATGCGAGTTGGGGCTGTTCCCCGAAATTGGCCGTGCCTGGGTGGCCATTGATTGCGATATTTATATGTGGAACTATGAGACAAAGTATGGGGATTTTTTTCCAGGCAAAGTAAAGCTCTTTTTAGTGATGATCTCGCCTATTTCGACCAAATCCAGAACACCGTCGTCAAGCTGGCGCTGGCGCGTCCGAAGCCAGGTGTTTTTCAGGTATGGCTTTGAACGTTTTTAACGTTAATCTAAAGTTTTTAGGGCCACATCAATTACATGCTGATCGTGGCGACGGTGGTCGACATCTCGCTGTTTGCGGTCAGCTCGATCGGGCATGAAGTCTGCGTCACGCCGGATGCCATCTACAAGGTATAATCTGCAAACAAAATGTACGCTTTTATATTCCAGGTTGATCTCGAAAATTCCATCGTCAACGATATTGTCGCCACCGACAATGGGCGTATCTTTTTCGTGGCGGACGATGCGCTCTTCGAGCTCGAATACACGGTAAAGCCGCGTCAAGTTAACTATTAATTTTTGTTCAGGATAGCGCGTGGTTCGGCAAGAACTGCAAGAAGATCAACCGGTCCACAAATCTCCTCCAGAGCTTCATCCCATTCCTGCAGCCCGTTGCTGGTTTGTCAATTGCTGCTACTCATTTAATATCCTTTTCTTTCAGAGGAGATCCTCCAAGTGTGCATCGATCGCTCCCGCAACATCCTCTACACGCTGTCGGTGAAGGGTTCGATCAACGTATACGATCTGGGCATCAACGAGAAGACTTGCACGCGGGTGGCGACGATGGCCGCCGAGCATATTAAGGTACAAATTCTTTTGCAAGCAGTCTACTTGACTTTTTAGCACGTCGCCTCGCAACTCACCAAAGGGCAGCACGACCCCAGCCTCTTCAGCCCGATCATCTCCATTTCGGTCATCCCGGCCGAGGGCTCGCATTATTTGCATTTGGTGAGCCGAGTTTGCTTTTATTGTTTTTAGGTGCTTATGGACTTTCCGATGTGATCTAGCTCATTCTACAAAGCTTAAAATTCTGAATCAGCTCCTGCTCAAGCTTGAATATCGGGGGTTTTGGACAAATTGGACTTGCTTAGAATGTATCGAATGAGCGATATCACCTCGCGAAACCCCATTAGCTTTGAAAAACTGTTAGAAATTTTATAAGGAAATCTATTTACAAAACTTATTTAGGTCGGCGTGACGACGAAGGGCGTTCGGCTCTATTTCTCGGTGCTCCCTCGTCAAGCCCAGCCCATTGGCGGCCAATATGTGCAGCAATCGGTAGAAAGCCTTGTCAATGTTGTATTTCCTTTTTTTAGGTGATGTCCCAAGCGGAGTCGAAGCCGCACACCTTCCGGCTGTGCCACGTTCGATTCGCGCCCGGTCTCTGCCCCCTCACGTCAATGCGCGACAGCAAGGACGGCGTCTATT